TCACTGTGTTGACAGGTCCGAACTCGATATTCCACACAGACCCCGTTCATGGACACTTAACCACTCACGCAAATAAATACATTCACACAAGTGGGTAGTCACCAGGGTTTTTGATATTACGCCAATGAATACCACCTTCACAATGCAAATATGCAAAAGTGAAAATAACCTAGGCTATTTTGGTGTTTTTGTTTACGCGTTCACGCTAATAAATACACCCACTCAAATTGAGGAGATTATTTTAACCTACGTATAATCATATTTCATTATTAGTTAAAATAACATCAATAACAACAACAATACTAATAACATTAAGGAAAATCAAAACGAAGAAACAAATTTTTTAAAATTTTTTGTTGATTAACATTTTATCGTTAAATTTCAGTTTTGTCTTATAGTAGGAATTTAAAAATAAACTTATGCGCGCACTCATTTTCAGATGCCAACAATGTTTCAAAGATGAAGCTTCGCGACTTCGCGAAAAGGTCGCTGAAAAAATGGCCCCAAAATTGATTATTGAAAATTATCATTATTTTCCCAACATAAACCGTTTCGAATTACACGACAAAAAACGAATTCCAATATTCGATTGTTCGGAAAATGTCCAATTTTTCCCGAAATATGCACTTTTAAACTAATCATTGCGTTTATTGTTTTACACTTGTTGTGAATTGTTTTTACCATTCTTACCACAAATTCAAATGATTAGTGAGAATGCCAGCTTATAGATAAATGTAGTTTTCCGTTTACAACAACTTATGCTCAACAATTTTCTCTAGCGTCAAACATGGGCACAGAAGCGTAGCGTCGAATGTATGTAATGTAGGGATAAACGCTGTTCTTTATCTGCCGTAATTTAGTTGGCCATTATTCTATTTTATTTTCCTATCAACGGGGATTTATGAAACATTTGTACATAAAATTTCAGTTCAACGTAAATATCATATCTGGTCGATTATAAGACAAAAACGTGTTTTTCAACAATTTTTCCTTGTTTCCAACTTGCTCTCTCTTTCCTCAATACATCTGATCATTGACACATTTAGGCGAAATTAGATTGTTTCATTTTGACAAAAAAAACGAAAAATTCGCTCCAAGAATCGTACTAATGCAAGTTCAATAATTTCATTCTCAAATGTATCTTTGATCTCATATTAGTCTATTTCAAACATTTATGATTTTTCAGTTATTCTGAAAAGCTATTTATGTTTTTTTTTTTAAATAAATTTTTCCCTTTGAAAGACAAACAAAGCTTCAAGGCTCCCTTTTGCCGAGTGGGACGCGTACTATCGTTTGCATACATTGTCCAAATGATAACGCTTGTTCAAGGACTGGTCGTGCATGCCTAATATGATAAAAATCATCGAGGTGATGGTAAGATTTTAATCTATGCTGATACGGTTTTGAAATGGTAAACAAAACCTTTTTGTTTAAATAGAAGGGGAAAAATAACGAGTAAAAACAAAAATGTAAATGTAGTAAGTTTTACGATTTTTGAAGTATAATAATAAAAAATAATAAATAAATAAACAACCTGGAAAATTTACTCTTTACATCTTTTTCGTACATTTCAAATTTATTCAAATACAACTTCAAAAGTAATATAGAACTTAAAGATTGAAAAATGTCTAGATATAATATCAATGCTTGCAAACATACTATTGCTGACAAAGGGGGGACTGGAGAAAAAAACAAAAAGGAAAAAGATAAATAAATATTTTGTTTAAACATATAACAAGATTTACAACATATCACCACGAGAAAACTGATACAAGCCAAAAAATTCTAAAAAACGATTTTTCCCCGTACATTTCCGAAAATGGCACATCAGGAAAAATGGCTGCTCCGGATATTAGAGTTAATTATAATATATTAAGTTATTATAATAATTTACTGTTATATCATCTTTTTAATATAATACTCCTGCGTGTCAAGGGGTCACAACTTTGAAACTTCGAGCGAAGCAATGTACAATATATATATACACAATGTATCAAATCATCATGTATCAATGCATCATCACTATTTATAATAAAATAATTGTAAAAATGACTTTCACATCACGTGAACAAACTGATTCTAAATTCGTTGACAACCAACAAGAAGCAAACTGCCGGCGATAATGGTAATGAAGTCTGTCATCCCTTTGGATTTAGGACAAATTGTCATGGATATTGGATCGTTTCGTTAAACTGATAACAGGCAATGAAAAGAAACCAAATGACCTACAGTGCTGATAGTTCTGGCTCGTTAGATTTTACTAACAAATCTGAGAAGCAGGAATGCTCAGCTTCAAATCTGAAGGTCAAAGATGTTACAGAAAATGGACATATTGTAAATATACTGAATTATCACAATTATACTTGATGCGAAAAAATAAGATTGCATGTCCTTAACTGAATCTAACAGCTTTCGTAGTTCATATGCTGCTTTTTCTCTTAATTGTGAAAGCAAAGTAGTACTAATTTTAGAATTATTTTAGTTTTGAATGTTAGAAGTATCGGCTACTTTTTACTCATGAATACTCTGGATCATGGTTTTGAAGAAAAGAGCAAATTCAATTGTTATTTTCGTTTTCGACCTATTACAGGTCATTATCAGGGCCTATATTAATTTCACATTATGAAAAACAATAGAAAAATTGTTAAATTATTGTACAAATATTTTTTCGTTACGGATATTTATGCTTGTTTTTTACGTTTAACAAGCAAACTAACTTAAATTATCGTGAGCCAATAGATTCAAGAAACGTGTCACAGCCAAAAAGAGGTAGTTTTGTAAGGGTAGTACAGCTGGACTATTAAAGTTTTGTATTCTCGGTTAGGTCTCGACAAAGGAAAGGCAGTATTGATGAATCATGACAGATTTATTGCAAACAACCGTAATGGCGTCTAGTTAATACATAAATAAAAAAGTAAACTTTCATTTGTCTCTCCTGTAAAATTTTCTTTTGTTGAGTCACTTTTCTTGCGCGTGTGCGATATTTATAATTTAAAGTTATGACAAGGCTCTTTGATTAAATTTCATTAAAAAAATACAATATAGGAAAATATCTTCAATTAATTAAAGTTTTTAGTTGAGATAAAAAAGTCAGTGTCAGGAGCAGGATTCGAACCCACGACCTTCGGCTAGATACGCCGCTGCTCTACCATTTGATCTATCGTGACCTCGACCCACTCGGAGTTTAATAGGAAAATATAATCAGTTGATACAAAATCAGGTACAATATGGTAATTATGAAATTAAATTATGCCATTTAAATTTATAAAGTTATAAATAACGCATGGGATATTTTTAATTTGAGCAGATAGAATATAACAAGGGTTTCAATTAAAATTAAAATTTTTAAATAATAGACCAAATCATAAAGAAATAGTGAGAGAGAGAGAGTGAATGCGTGATGGATGGGAAAATAGGGAAAGAGAGAGAGAGTGAGAGAGAGAGAGAGAGAGAGAGAGAGAGAGAGAGAGAGAGAGAGAGAGAGTGTACGGTTTAATGATAATTTTTACATTAACAACTGCTACCAACATCTTGTTTTTAAACAAATCTCTAAAAATACAAATGTGATATTCTTAATTTTAGATCATGTGAGCAATTTAAAAAGTAGCAATTATGAAAATTTAAAAAAAATCTTTCCTTTCAATTGTATACACATAATATTTTTTGTAGTTTGTTCTGACAAAAATTATTTTTTTAAATAAATTCCAACACAAGATTAATTAAAACTAAGGCATTTGTTTTCAATAGCGTGAAAAATAGGAGAAATTTTTGCTTGTTAGACAGGGTTTCTATTTAAAACTACATCCCTTAATTTCAACAAAGTGCCGGCGAAGTTCATACTGTTAGGAGTTTTGAAATTAAAAACACTTCTCTAATCTACTAACGATGTGTTCAATGTCTATTAGTCTGTCGTTTAATTTAACTATTTGGCCAATAAACAATTCAGCAAAGATAAAGATTCTGATCAAACTAAAATTTCTTTTTTCAAACAATAACCGTCCTCTGTGTCAAGAAATTTTGTTATTTGTTACCAACTGTGTTATTTAAAAAGTCTGCCATCTTTCTAATTAAATAATTACAAAAGCTAATTTTTACATGGTATAGTTTGAACCTGAGCATCAGTGCATAAAAATCATATTATGTTTTAAACCTGAAAGCTTACTTTTTACTATTTACAGCAGTATCGCTGATACAATTTATTTTAACGAATTTAGTGATCATTAGTGATAAATAATCTATAATACACTATAATATGCGTCTTTTATTTTCTTTCAAGAATAATAAAGAGCTTATTGAACATGACTCTCGGTCGGGTTCTATCTGTTTTGGGATTAGCCTATGCAGCTACCTCGGGATATCGGTAATCCATCGAATCGCTTATCTCCCAGACGAGACGAAAATAAAAACAAGGACCTGAGCCGAATTTACACAGAAGATAGGCCATCCTTGGGGCCCCGGGTAACGAAAACTGTGGAATTAACGAGATCCCCTCTCCAGGTGACCTGAAATGTAAACCGCCGGACCCAGTCCTGAGGCTAATGACTCTCTAAATGCCCGCCTCCCGTCGATTCCTGATTCAGCAGAGGCTGAATTTTCGATTTCGCCTGAGAACTCGGTAACGCCCAAATTGAATTTATCCAACATTTCGCGACATTCGACCCGGATAATCCGTTAGTAAGTAAAGTTTGAATAATCTAGAACAAGATTTTTTTTGTCTCTGATGATATATTTTACAGATATTATCAAATTGTTGCTAAAATGAATTTGTCTTTTTAAAATATATACATTATCACAGTCGTACATGCTCCTGAGATTTCAAAATGCAAAGAAACCTTAGTTTAAATCTTCGATCCTAAGATCATGTCCAAAATTGTTTATCAGTCTGATGTAAATGAAGCGATGAATAAAGTTGATCTTACTAAGTTGAAACATTACAGATCTTTTCTGAAGATTGTGTGAAGTAGGAATGAAAAGCAAACCATAGAGAATAAACGGACCCACCAAAGGGATCCGTTAAACGTATGTCATGTTATTAAAATTGCCTTTGTTTGACCTAATAAATACTCAATATTACTTATATTTATTATTATATACAATTATATTTAAATTTCATTTATTGTACATTATATATTTTTATTAGATAATTAGAAAGCAAATTTACAAAGGGTTACTGAGTGAAAAACAAAACTAGGTTTCGTGATGGAGGGTTCGACGAATCTCCATCACGGCCGTATATATCAAGATGATAAAAAACCGTTTAGTCGGTTTTTCTCAGATTACACTCACATTCATCCGTTGTGTGCAGGGTTCCGTTGGGAAGGCATGAGGATGAAAAGCCTGAGGGAAATCGGACTCGATTCAATGAAGGAAAGGATCTCCTGGTCGAAACTGCCGGAAGTAATTGACAGCAAAATTACCGGTAAGCACGATATTTTGGTTATTTCAAACATACTACCATACTACATATAGGGCGGTAGTTTAATGTGTAGGTCCTGTCATGAATAGAATTAATAACAACTTCTTAATCCATGGAATTGCAAAACACTAAACTGGAAAGTAATGATTTAATATGGAAAAAGGGAATTGTGCCAGAAAAATATCATTTTGGAAAATACTACATAATTGAGTATATGTTTTGTGTACGCGCTTGTTCATTGCCTATGCTTTGTTTTTGGGTTGTATGTTTATAATTTATGCCCTAAGTACATTAAACGTTTATGGGAACATTTGTTTCTTTGGAAACAGGATTTCTGATTATTTAATAGATAGATAATTTTCCATTATTTGGTTATAAAATTATGTTTGATAAAAATGTGTATTTATTGTAATTCTTTTCTCTATTTTAACATTAATAATTAAGCCAAAAACAACAATATAAGCGTCCGCGATCAGTGAGTGAGAAAAAGAGAAAGAAAAATGGGAGAGAGAGAGAGAGAGAGAGTGAGTGAGATAGATAGGCAGATAAGAAAAGGAAATAAATAGTAAGCTAAATAAACGAGAATTACTGAGAGGGTGAGTAAGAATGTTAAGAACGAAAAAACAGTGAGATGAAGATAAATAGGCAGATAGATAAATATAGATATATAAATGTAAACGTATTTAAAAAATACAACAACTAATAACAAAATACTGGGAGCAAATGAGTAAGAGAGAGAGAGAGAGAGAGAGAGAGAGAGAGAGAGAGAGAGGGAGAGAGAGAGAGAGAGAGAAGAGAGTAGAGTGGAGTGAGTAGTGAGAGAGGGAGAGAGAGAGACAGAGAGAGAGAGAGAGAAACTGGTGAGAGTGAAAAAAGTGAGAACGACAAAAGGAAATAAATAGTACAACAACTTAGATAGAAATACTGAAAGATAGTGATAGTGTAAGTTAAGTAAAAATAATGAAAGAAAGAGAGAGAGAGAGAGCGAGGGAGGGGGAGAGGGAGGAAGAGTGAGAGGGGGAGAGAGAAAGAGACAGAGAAAGAAAGAAAATGAGTTAGAAACGGAAAGAAATGGAGAACTAAGTTCATATATGTCTACCTGTTTATTATTTGTAATAAATAGTTAGAGCAAATAAGAAATACCAACTGAGAAAAATAGTGAGTGGAGGCGTAAAAGTATAAACAGTAGAACAAATAAGAAAAATACTGAGAGAGTATTTCTGTGTGCGCGAAAATAAAAAGTATATTTAGAGCAAATAAGGTGTGCATACTGAGAGAGAGTGAAAAGGTGCGGAAGAGAGAAATATGTAGAACTATAGAATGGAGGATGGGGAAAGAAAGAGGAGAGAGAGTATGTGTAAGGAGAGAGAGAAAGAGAGAGGAATAGAGAGAGTACATAATCTGTTTTTCCATCTGCATAATATTCGTATATCTGTGCTTTTATTTTTAAATTTTTAAATTTTTCTTCCATTTCTTCAACAAATCCATTGAGAATTTTAAAACAAACCTACTTCCTTTATTTTTAGAACATAATCATTAAAAAACCTGCTATAGATAATTCAGGCCGGAGAATAGAAAATCTACCGGCTTTGAAGGGAAGAGTAATTACATATTAATTTACTGCTTACCTTGCAAAATCCCCAGGCTTAGAAAAGAAAAGCACACTTTTTCAGTTTACATACAAAATTGTACAATATGAAAAATATTGTTATATACAGAGAAAACTCTACATTGTATCCAAATTTTAAACGTTGAGAAAATAACTTTATAAATATCTACTGGAAATCATTTTTCGAAATATTGCATTGAAAATCAAAAATGTTTATTAACCGTAGGATATGTCAATCTGAAAGCCTCCGTGAAATATTGTTTTTTAAACGATAATTTATACTATATATACAATTTGTCAGCCTTGTCACCACCAAGATTTGAGGTCACGTAGGAAAATATCACCAATCTAGGCCACTTTATCTTGATAGCTGCATTTGTTCGACATTTTACTTAAATAAATGGGCCAGTTTACAGTGGGTTGGCAGCTCTGGCACGATAATCGTGCCATGAAGATTATGAGTTTCCATTTTTGATCGTTCACTAAAGTCCTGGAGCCTTTAGTACAAATAAGTTCCGAATTTGCTTTTCTTTATAAACTCGTTTTCCAGCTTGTCAATTCTCACTTGAGGTTTATCTTTCTCCTCTAGAAAATCTCCAGAAAGGTTTGCTCCACAGTTTTGTCCTGTCAAATTGTCGTTAACTGATAACTAAAAATTCCCCAGTTTAGATATAAGGCTGTAGATTGCTTGTTTTAAGTGTCTGGAATTTATTAGACCTGGGATAATTTCTTTAATAGCGGATCTGCTAGCTCTCAAAAGAACATTGCTGTTTTTTATTTATTAATGCATTAGTTTTGTTATTTTAAGATTAATATGTTTACAATGCAAAATCTGAAGGCTATCTGATTGTTACTTGCTTTCTCAGCATGTTGGTGTTTTTAAGTACACAGTAACTTTAAGCTTACTGCTGCACTTGCGTATTTCTCTTTGTTGTGATATATATCGTTATCCTAAGCTGTGGTGCTTCAGATTCACTAATCTACAGTTCATTCAGAAATTTGGATCCAATTTTCAACCTAACTCCAAGTAACAAAGTAAGTACTTAAAGGTACCTTGATGATTACGTAATTTCATTAAATGAATGTTATGAAAATCATTTCTGCTAACTATTTCCGCGTTCAAAAATGATTAATAGTTTTTTGTAATAGTTTTTCTCTATGATTGTTCTATTTATAAAATCCACTTCTCTTCTTCTATGAATGGATTTCGACGCTCTGAAAGCAAAAGCAAATAGAAATTCGATCTCTTAATTGATCTATCGATTCGCCGACGTACCCTAGATTCTGTAAAAAGGGAGTGCTTTTCTTCTCTTAATAATAAAACAGGCCTATTCAGTATAAATATAGCTCGCTTTCCTCTTTCTTGTTTGTTGTAATGATTGAAGAAATATAATTATTGTATAATTAGTGAGAAGTATAATTAACTATTTTGGCCTTTTTTTATGAAAATCCAATATTGCATTTATAGTCAATAAAATCGATTTCATAATTTAACTACCTTAACCGTAGTATTATCCTATAATATAATTTATAATTTCTATTAGATGAAATGGATAGAGATATAAATTTCATAGTACAAAAGAAAAACATATACATTTTCATAACTTTAGTAAATCCTGTTTAAGGGCTGCCAGTATTACAATGAGAAAAAATGGGTTGAGATGTAAACTAGTGATAGTAAAAATAGTAATACTAATAGACTAAACAAACCTGAAATCGAAGTATTTTCCTTTTTAAATAGTAGGTACTAATTTTTGTTACTGTTATATATAACAATACAATAATAATACATATACTCAAAGAGTAAATACTTTGTTTAGAAAATATTTGTGGATTTACATCATTTGATGAGGGACTAAATAGAAACCACTTAGAGCCTACATACAAAAAATAATTCTACATAAACGTTAATTTTGGTTGAAGCTCCTTTTTATCGGGCATCTCGTATAATATTTAATTTATTTTATTTGCTCATTTCCACCTCTACCGAAAAACCTCCTTAAGGTTCGGAAAAGGTAAAGGTATGGCACAAGTAAAATTTGGTATTTAAGGTAGTGTTCCAATTTTTCTTTCAAAAACTGTACGAATTATTTTTTTACGGTTTAAATAATTAGAAATAAGTTTCAAAGTCCTGATGATGGGAATATACTCCTCTAAAGCTTGACGAAAAAATTTTCTTTGTTTTAAATTTCTTAGGAACTATAGGAAAACATCAGAACAAAGAAACATAGCCATTCAGTATTTTCACTAAAAAAAAATTTTAAAATGTAAGTTTTTATTAGATATTTGCAGCATTTAAAGGTAAGGTAGTTCGGTGACTGTCAAATAACAGTACTGAGAAGATTACCAAGCGAAAGTAGTTCAGTAGATCTTGAAAAGAGCCTTCGAGTACAAAAGAATTACCTTGAAACTATTCCGTCAATTGAGTTCCTTTTCAGGGACAATTGTAGTGTCCCAGTGCAACTAATCGGTCATAAGAGCATTTAAATCTATTTTTACACTTGTTCAAATTTGATTTGCCTTCTTTTAGATTCAATGAGCATTAAAAACGTGATGCTCTGCGATGTCAAATTCTCCATCATGATACAAGAAGTCGTTTTCAACAAAGAGCTCTGCGAACTGCATTCGATGGCCAGGGAGTCGGTCAATCTTCAATCGGATCCACTCCCTTTGTATAACAGAAGGCATCTGGTCATGATAATAAAAAGACGTAAGGCGATCTCAATAATTATAACTAAATAATACTTTTACTGATTTTTTTGTTAACAGTTCGCAGGTATTCTGACCAATTGCTCTCCGATTTGGAAAGAGGGTGGCAGGGTGCAGGATCCGTTTTTTTCGACCCTGACAAAGTCTTCGATGTCTTGGATGTTAACTTGAACGCGAGCTTTTCTCTCGCCAACATAGCTTACATGGAAATGTTAGACGAATTTAGAAAACTCTTGAAAAGAACAGTGTAAGTAATTTTTTGCCGTCTCTCTCTCTCTCTCTCTCTCTCTCTCTCTCTCTCTCTCTCTCACTCTCTCTCATACACACACACCCTTACCCTTCTCTCTCTTCTTTTTTTCAAGATGGGTCAAAACGGAAGACAGAAGGCTATGACTGTTTTCTCCCTCTTTCGCTTTGTCTATCTATCAGCCTATCTCTTTCTCGCTCTTGCTCTCTTTCCACACACTCTCTTTCTTTCAATCCCTGTTTCTTTCGCTCTCCATCTGCCTCTTTTTCTCTCACTCTCTCACTCTCTTTCTCTTCATCTCCCCCACCCATTGCCAAAGACTTTATATTTAGTTCTAACCTGTTTACCTGTTTTTCTATCCATCTAACAGTCTTTTTTCTCTATCTGTACTTTCTCTCACTCAGTAAAACTACAAAGCGAGAGAAGGAAATATTGATTGAGGACCAGACCAACATCTAGTTGCAAATAGTGGTGTGAACAATGACCATTGTTCGTTCGTAATCAGGCTAAAACACGCTTACATTTGTAGCTATAGTCACAATTTCAAACATTTGATATCAGATATTACTTAACCAAGGTTTTTCTTTATTGATTTGTTTTCGACGTGTTTTTGAAAGAGAACGATAATACATTTTGTGTAACGACTAAATATAGACGTTGTCTGATCATAATCTGTGATTTTCATCGTGCAAAATTATTATTAATTTTCAAATGAAATTTAAAAATTAGTGAATTATTGATTTAAATGTCTTAGTCTGTAGTCAACATTTAGCGATTTCATTGAATTTTTGATTTACAGGTCGATCCACCACGATATCACGCATGTTTACAGCGCTGTGACCAGTTGCGAAAAAGCTCTGGGTCCGCTCCAGAGGCTTGCCAGCCTTAGAAATTCCCTCAGGAGAATCGTGGATGAAGAAGACGACGCGAAGACGGCAGAAAGAGCAAGCCTGACCTTAGACAACGTATCTGGGGTATTGATTTTCCCATAAAATACCAACATTTTTGCAGCTTAGAAAAGCAAAATTTTATCTGTCGTTGGCTATAAAACTATTCTTCGAATTTATTAGAATTCGGTCGTAACGTGAATCAAAAATGTCGATAGATGTAAATAAAAGTAAAAAAAATGAAATTTTTCGATGTAAAAATATGTCTGCGCTATTTGTAATACATTCAATGCATAGTAATGTCGAATAAAGTTTTTCACAAGACGCTTCTTTACATTCTGATTAAAATCAGACAAAGAAAATAAACCGAGCGTAATAATTTTTATCACTTTTAACTACGTACTGGGTTTGAAAAAAAAGGAACTAATTTCACTTTTGTAGTCTGATCTGTTATGAATTTATGCAGCACAGTGATCAAGGGCAAGGGTGAAAATGTATTATATATGTATGGCGAGACGCGGGTTTACATTTACCTGGGCTACCCTTCTTTCACCCTGCTTTATCCGCAACGTATTCATGATGGGTAGGTCTACGTTGCATAGTTTATGTTCGAATCGCATGAAATTGTTCGTGCGTAATGCTAGAAAACTTTTTACGCTTTCGCGACTATCTTCTTAGAATATTTGTTAATGATTTGAATAATGCAGTCATCTCTTGTAAATATCAGTCGTTTCGAATGAAAAACAATAGAGGAACATTTATAAAATACAAATACACCACAAGATATAAATGAAAAACCTTTAATACTGATATGTTTATAAAATTTTCAGATATTGGATAGATGTTATGAAGTTCTGACATCGCTCCATGGACCCAATTATGTCGCCGATCTTGACAATATTCTCGATTTTTCATTAAAACTCACTTCACTGCAGAGGAAGGGCAAATCGGATAAGAACCTTTTCGTGCCGTCTGTGGACGCCCTCAAGGAGTCTCTCATGGGTACATTCTCGTCCACGAAAAGCTCTCTGAACCTGATGGATTTTTCGCCGATGAAAAAAGCAATCGACGCCCTACATGAATATGAACTCGTACCGCTTTATGACTTAACACCTCCGCCATATAGGGATAACAAACTTATCTGCGATTTTTGGGATAAAAGCCGTCTTTACCAGCTCATCTATCCTCGAGAGGTGGGTTGAAAATTTGTTTTACCATATCATGAAATATGTTTTTATAAATGTAATTCAAAGATGAAATTCCACTTCTTAATCTGAACTTTCAAAACGGCAAATTCATTTTTTCCATTTTCATTCTTTCTTCCTCTTCTCTCTGACGCTCTCCCCCATTCACTCCCTCTTTCTCGCCCCTCTCCTTTTTCACTCTTTCCCTCTTTACTCGTTTTTTGTAATTGTTTTCAGTTTTTTGCAAGAGTTATACGATATCGTCCCTCTCTGTCTCTCTCTCGCTCTTTCTTTCTCTCTCTCACTCTCTCTCTTTGTATTTCTTTATCTCTCACACACTCTCTCTTTCTCTATCTATCCATTTCTCTCTCTCTCTCTTTCTCTCTCTCTCTCTCTCTCTCTCTTTTCCTTTTGTCTCTCCTTCTCTTATGTCAATCTCTTTCTCTTCTTGCTCTAGCTCTTTCTCTATCTATCTCTTTATTTATCTATCCATTGACCTATCTATATCCCTCACTTTTATCTCCCTTTCTCCCCTTCTCCCTATCTCAATTTCGCTCTTTCTCTTGTTTTGTGGAAAGGTTTTTAAGGTTTTTTCGTTAATTGTAAGCGAGATCATGTTCGTGATAAAAATTGCAATTCTCTTAATTTTTCTCTCCCAAGCACTATCTATTTCTCTCTCTCAATCTCTCTCTATCTATCTTACTGTCTCTATCTCTATCTATGTGTCTGCTTGTCTATCTATGTTTCTCTTTTGTTCTATATTATTTTGATCCAAATTATTTTAACTTTAAGGTTTAACAGTAATGAATCTTTTTTTATTATTGTTTTTAAATCGTTTAATCGTTATTAATTTTGGTGAGGCTAATTTTCAAGTTTTTCATCGCAAAACTCTTGTAATTCAGCTTTTCTCCATTCGTCGATTAAATAAATTTCCATTGTCAAAAATTGATGGCGCGTTGTCCAAGGAAGATGACGTGCTCAGTATAAAGTACAACTTCATCCTCTCAATCAAATAAAAAGGAGGCAAATGGTTTAGTTTGTATTCATTAATGCAAACCGGTTTCTTTGTAAGATGCAGCTGTAAAGAGTTGATTTAAAAATAGGTTAATAGAATCGTTTTATTCTGGGAAGGCTATTGATTGAGAAAAAAAGTTTATATATTCAACAAAACCTTACATTTAAAACTGGTTAATGATTCCGGCTTTCTGTCAATTCTATTTCGGGGATTATTTCATTTAAAGTTTGAAGTCGAGATTTTCCAGAAAATATTTTTTCACTTACCCTCTCACCCGTTAACTTTTACGTTTACATTTAACTTTTGCACATTTTAATATAGTAAAACTAAAATCGTTTGGGAAAATGTTTTAGCTGACCATAACCAATCTTATTGATCAACGGTCACATTTGATTGGTCTAAATTTGTAAGGAATGTTTTGAACTTAGTAATTGTGACAGCTGTAGTTTGGCGAAAGAAAAGCTTCTTTATCTGCTGAGTAATCAAACCTTTAAAGTCCCTTTCTATACTTCAAAACGCTTTGTATTTTCACGATGCTATTGCCCCTTGAATATTTTCCATTCGTGGAAGTGGAAAGATGCGAACGATTCGGGAATTCATCTAACTTTTTCTTTCTCCACCTGCTGATAGGTTGGGGAACAATTTCAGTTTGAGAGGGAGAAATATGTACGTGAAAATGTATATGAATATGTTATGGTATTAAACTCCGTTTTTTCTTGAAAAATGTTTATTTTCAGTTATACTTTTAAATTAGAAGTATAGAAAAATCTTTTTCTTTCATTATAAAAACCGATTTTGTAAGATATAAATCTGCTTTTAATTATTTGAAATTTGGCTTAATCTTTGAAATGATAAAATTGAATCCACTCTTACATTTGTTTTTATGTAGTGTTTGTTGAACTTTGTTCCAATAAGTTATATTGTGTACTAATTTAAGTAGAATCTAATTAGGCCAATGTATGTATGTACGAATCCTGCAATAATTTTCCCTTCTTTGAGGTTTGTCTGAAGCGAAATAATAGAGAAGAATTACAAATCGACGCAATAAATTCAAAACTGTGAGTAAAGAATCTACATTAGTAAACAATAATCTAACAAATATTGAAACATTACTCGACTATTTTGATAGGACCAAGGACAATAGATCTAGACTCTCTCGGCAAAGAACACTATTTGGTACTATACAAAACATATAGTGAAAGGTAGTTTAATAAAATATACCAGGAATACCTAAATAGAAAGTGATGAAATGAATTGCGAATAAATAATAAAAATGAGCAGTACATATATTTAAATTTATTAGTTATCGTTATAGCAAAATATATTTGTAATGCTTAATGAACTATAATTTATGTTAATTTAGAAAGTAGAAGTTAACAACTTAAACTTAGACTAAATTTCAAAAAAGTGTAAGTGAAATTGTAGTGATTTCCTTGGTATTTGAACGAGCTTTTTCTAGCTTTAATCTGAAACAATATTTTTATGCACATTTTAATATTTAAACACATTCTTAATTAATCCATTCTTTCGCCTGTCAGTTGAGTTGTCTACTTTTGTCAATAATTTTTTTAATTGGTTTTGGTTGAAATGAAGGCCGAAGGGCGTGGGTTCGAATCCATCGACACTAACTTTTTCATTTCAACCAAGACCTTTCATAAAACGAAAAATTAATTGAAAGTTTTTATTATTTATGAATTGTTATATAAATAAATCTGCTGTCTTTATATTGTTTCATAATCTCTCGGATAAGGGATCGTTTAGGAGAAAATTTGTGGAATCTGCTGATTCATGTTCGTACGATAAAATTTGGAAAACGAAGCTCTTTGAAAGAGATATCAATCAATATTTTCGTAGGAAGATTAGACCTTTGAATTTTCATATTGTACAAAAAAAAAATACTCTTATATAATTTTCTTTATAATTTTGTATTAAAAACCAGAGATAAAGCCCATTTGAAAGAAAACACTTCAGCTATCAAAGAATAATTTTACACCCTTGAGAATTTGAAACTATTATTAATTAGTAAATATATTAACAAGTATGAACATCTATTTCCAAAATTGAAGAAGTGGACCACTTCTACTTTGACGTGTCTGTAAGCTTTTGATAGTAGTCTAAAATATAAATAGCTTCCTTTAATGTTTCCATTTTGAAGGCACGATGGACTTCATTTCTGACGTACCAGAGTGCATTGAGCATTCCTCTATTCTGAACTGTTGGTTTGATTTGAAGATTGATCTCGCAGGAGCAACAATTGGATGTCTGAAGTGCACATCGACTTGAAGACCGGTTAATAAAGTGAATGCCTACTTTCATTGCTAAAGTTAAAAGTCTAGGATGTGGGGTTTATGTTTCCTAAGCACTGAAGCCTCCTGAGTTGTTGCACTTTCCTAGTTACTTGGTTCTCTCTGTCGAGTCGATCATTCTTCTAAGGAGTATGAGGTCTCTGACTGTCGTTGCTACAATTTCTTTCACTGGATTTCATCGTCATCGTCTCATGACAAAGGAGTGCTTCAGCCCATTAACTAACACATTTTCGGAATTCGTGGGTGAACTTTTCACTACTTTTTTTGACGTGTGTTTTCCATCGCAAGCTTGCATCTAGTTATATAACAAGGTATTTTGCTTTGTTAGCGTATGGAATTTCAAGGATGGTAAATTGGCATGTATTGACGTTTCCGGTTAGTGAAGTCCAAATGATTTTTCTTTACTCGGCTTTATTCTTTTTTTTTTTATCCAATTATAAGTTCGGGAAATGGAATTGAATGGAATTGACGAGTCGATAAAGCATTGCTTCCTCCAACTAAAATAATTGCCGTACCATCAGCTAACGTTACCGTAACATCTTCTTCATTTACATCGTTTGGTATATTGCTAGTGAAAGGCAGGTATGGGCGGGCTTAATACACTGCCTTGTGAAATTCTAACATTAATCGATCCGAACAGGCCTCTGTTTGCTTACTTCGTAAATACCGGTCAACAGTGTAGGATTCGATGAGTTTTGAGAAGTTGGCTGGAATGTAGTGTCTTTTTCATATACAAGAAATTAATAGTCCTACTTTTTTAAATTAGATACACATAAATAGGTTTGAAACAAAATCAGTTTATCGCTAATAATATTTGAGCTGAGTTGTGTTCGGAGAGAAAATTGATTTGTGACATTGAATCGTTTTTAACTTCATTCGTTTTTGTTTAAATCACGCTTCAGATTTAGATCGGTTGGATAGAGAATCTGGGTTTTGGTCTGTCATTGGAGAAATTTTTATCAAATTCCAATCTTTTGGCCTATGTTAGGCCTTCCTCAGTGCTAAGATAAATGCCATGCCAGTTCATTAAAGTTTATACCGCAGGTCTTTCAATGACGAAACGCTTCTAATAGACCAACAAAGCAAAGTCCGACCAAATTGATCGGTAACAACCAAATTACCGGATAATCACCACACAGACCGCACACAGTAATATCGCAATACTATAACAACTAACAAAGATAAAAATAACGTTTTTTTGTGCCAAAATATAAAAAGGTTAAAACGCTCAACTATAATAATTGTAAATTAAGTTAATAATTATGTATAACAACATTCTTCAGAAAATAAATAACCACGCTTGAGTTTGACGCAAGACATTCCATAAGGTTTTTAGTTGAGATAAAAATGTCAGTGTCGCGAACAGGATTCGAACCACGAACTTCGGCTAGATACGCCGCTACTCTACCACCTGAGCTATCGTAACTTCGATCCACTCGGACTTTAATAGGAAAATATAATCAGTTATAGTACAAGCAAATTACAAATAATTGAGGTTTTTAGTTGAGATAAAAAAGTCAATGGCACGAGCGGGATTCGAACCCACGATCTTCGGCTAGATACGCCGCTGCTCTACCACTTGAGCTATCGTGACTTCGATCCACACGGACACTAACCTCCCATCTCAACCCAACCTTTTGAATTTTCCCTCCTTTTCGACGTTTTTCAAATGTCGTGTAATCAATTTG